AGTTTGGCTCTCAGTAGTCCCTATTTATACTTGCACGATAAGTGTGTTCTTGCTTGAAGTTTCCCAAGTAAATTTAAACTGTTATGGCCATATACCATAATCAGTCATATTGAATAGACAAGCAATATTAATCATTTACCTGCAATTAATAATATAACATTTTTCTTTTGTTACCATTCTTCAGTCTTCAGGTACCTATTATTTCATTATTTCATACTGCCTTCAGCAATAGAGGTCACTATCCCTCAAAACCTTAGTAAATTGCATTCTTGAGTTACTCCGGCCAAAAAGATACATCATGCGGTAACCAAACCTCTAAGGATGTTTCTCCAGACTTGGCTCAGATTGCTTCTTAGAAAAAAGACTTATATAGCCAGTAAATATACCCTTGTTCATTACCATACCATTCTGCATATAAGCTATACTCCCCTACTGCCAAAGCTGACTTAAATAAAACCATTACCTGAGGTAAATAGTCTATGTCATCTTTTACCATATGTCTTTCAGGAGCTAGAGATGTTTATAGAGCTAAGAGGGGAAGGTAGGTATAGGTGTTGTTGCCCCTTTCATGAGGAGATTTTCTCCCTGTGTCCTCCCCACATAGATGGATGCAAGAGAAGAGTAAGTTATGGGAATTTTTCAAGGAGCATTTAGGCCTCGTAGGAATAGCCGTAAAATTAAATATTTTGTGTGTGTATGTGTATGTGTGTGTGAGAGAGACAGATAACATGTACATAGAGAACACATATATGATATACACACATATATACATGTATATGTAGTTTTATGTTTATTCACATACGCATATGCATAAATATAACACAGTGTACATATGTATATATACACATATACATGCATACACACACACACACACACACACACACACACACACTCCACAGGGAGCCATGTGGCACTAAGGGTTCCCACATTCAGCCATACACTTAGCTACTTTAACTTTCACTGAACAGGCCTCATACCTTCAATAGCTATAGCTGTTGAAGACTGGTCTGGGTGTTACGGAAGCAGCATCATGGAGGAAGAGAAAGGAATTGCTATGGTATTGTGTATGTATGGCCTGGTAGGTGAAAATGAAAGGATTAACTCAGCATTGATTTTTTGGGAACCCTTAATGCCACAGGCTTCTGGTAGAGGGCCTTCTTTATATGTATATAGGGGTAGGGTCTGGAGCCTACTTGCCAGTGTCTCCCATGCGGTGTGACACCAGTATGGCAGAAATGTCAAGTTCCCTTGATAGTGATCCTTGAAAGTTATGATAAGATCACAGATTTAGAACTAGAAAGGTCCTGAGAGGTCGTCATTTTAGAAATAAGGACACTGAAAGGATTAGGACACTGATATTTTGAGTTTCATTTGGTTTAGGAACTTTCCTCTTTGAGGCATTCAGAAAGTTAGAGTTGCCCTCCCCCCACCCCAATGGGATGAGGAAAGAGTGGACATTGTCGGCATTGTAGGATGGAATTTTTAAAAATAAGATGAGCATTCTGTGGGGCTGAAAGTGGAGAACAGGTGCAGGTATTGCCTCTTCTGTTAAAGTTCTTCCCATCTCTTACTGTTGTGAGAGTTGGAGTGAGCAGTTACAATTTCCTGGAGGTTATTGGGAGTCATCCAGAGATCCTCAGAGCACTCCCTAGCTGATGTGGTTTTGAAGGCTTAGGGAGTGGTCTGGATGTTGGGAGAGTGGTAGCGTGAAAGTAGAGTGGTTGTGGTGAAAGTATGTTCCAGGGGCGGTAGCAGGAAAGATGAAATAGGCAGATGTCAAGAGTGGGAGCTTTGGTGATGAAGGATCTGTTTCCCTTTATGGGCACCTTGGTGTGTATATGGTGGTAGGTAGGTCTTGTGGCCTAGTTGCAGCATACTGTATGGTACATGAGTATGTAGTGGTGGAAGACAGGTTTTTTTTTTCCTTCCTTATATATCTTATATGAATCAGATATCTCAAGCTTCCTATTTAAGAAGGAGATTGTATGGGGGAGAGGAGGTGATTGTACTGCTCTTCGGTTATTTATTTTGTTTTCATTTTCACTCATTTTCAGAGCATGGCCTGTATTTGGGAGCAGTCTATATTTAAAACTCTATTGTATTTATTGAAAGTAGACTAAAATAATGGAAAGCCATTTGGATTTGACTTTGGTCACAAAGTCGTATCTCAAGAAAAATTCATGGCAAGAACCTTTATTTGTCTTAAAAATAAAAATTTCAGAGGAAACAGACAGAGTGAGGTGGGAACTCAAAGACTTTGTGAGTTTTGCTGTGGATTCACTTCATTATTTTGAGATCTTAAAGAGGTTCTTAACAACTCTGTCACTATCTACATTTTTAAAAATAAAAATAATAATTATTGTCATTTTTTGATCTTCTGATTATTAATATGAAATAAGCCATAAAACAAGGAGCCATCTGCTTACCAAAAGTATTTACCATTGTCATGGAAGAGAAACACTGGGTATATAGGGAAGTCTGCCAGCCATTCTTATTTGTAATGACAGTGTATCAGTTGCATAATTCCAAATTACTTTCAAGAATGGTTAGAGTCAGACCAATACACAGAATCACCAACAGTATATTAAATGTGCATGATCTTCCCATAGATCCTCCAACATTAGCTGTTTTCATCTTTTGTCATCTTTGTAAAGACATTGTAATGATTGTATCAAGCCCCAGAACATTATTTAGTTTTGTAAATGAGATCTATAATCATTCAGATGAACACAGAAAAAAAGTGAGCCAATGAAGAATGCACTTTGTTCGGATCATGATATGTCATTGGATAAAAACTCATAGAGCTGTTCCATAGTCACATATAACTTGGACAAACATTATGGATAGATGGTGAATAGGAAGGGACCTGATTAGCCATGTAGTCTTACCTACATGCGAAAAGAATCCCCAGTATCACATATCCAGCACATCCTGGGTCATATAGCTTATTCCTGAAAACCTGCAAGGAAAGGGAACCTACCACCTTTTCAGGGTGGCCCATTCTACTTTTAAAGATAACTAGTTGTCAGGAAGTTTTTTCTGACATAAATTTGCTTCTCTGGAACTTCTACTCATTGTGCCTTGTTTGGCCTCTATGGGGATAGATGGAACAAGTGTAATCTTTCCTTGATATGACTTCCCATGAAATAGTTGAATGTAGCTATCATGTCCCTCTGAGACTTTTTTTCTTCTAGGATAAACGTGCCATATTTTCAACTGCTGCTCATGTGTCATGTATTTTAAATCCTCTCTACGTTTATTTCAAACCTCTCTAAGTTGCTCTCCTCTAGATGCTGTTCATTTTATCAATATGTTTCATAAATACACGGGAGGAAGCTCAGTGGTTCGGCAGATAGAGCCGTGGACCTAGAGTCAGGTAGACCTGAGTTCAAATGTGACCTCAGACACTCACTAGCTATGTAACCCTGGGTGAGTCACTTAATTTCCATTTGCCTTAATCCTCTGGAGAAGGGAATAGCAATCACTCCAGTATCTTTGTCAAGAAAGCCCCATATGGGGTCATGAAGAGTCAGAGGGGACTGTCACGTTGCTCTGAGACTTCTTTTTTCTTGAGCATAAACTTGTGCCATTTCTTCAGTTGATCATCATGTGTCATGGATTGTAACTGCTTACCGTCCTGGTTGCCCCCCTCTGGATGCTGTCCAGTTTACCGATATGTTTCATAAATCATGAAGAGCTGAGCACAGTATTCCAGATGAGATCTAATGAAAGCAGAGGATGGTGAAACTGTGAACTCCCTATTCCTGAAAGCCATGTCTCTCCCAGTTCAGCTTAAGATCCCACTACCTTTCCTGATTGCCATATCACACTTCTGAATCAGTTCACTAAACCCTCCAGATCTTTTTCAGAAAATTGTTGTTTAACTTCATCTCCCCTATCTTATACTTATGAAGTTTATTTTTTTATACAAGTTCATGCAAACATTTACCCAATTTTTATTCAAAATGATGAGGGAGACCCAACATTGAACAAGAGGAAAAGAGTAGGCTCAATTTTCTTTGGGAAATTTGTGCAGTTTCTTTTTTTAGTCACCATATTTCTCCTTAAACCAAAGACCCATCTTTAAAAAATCTAATTATGTTATGGAGACAAGTTATGGAATGCTACAGGCTTGGAAGAATAAAAGTCGGTGGTCACTCACAAGGTAGTAGAGAGGCTCCTGTTGGGTGTGAGTAGTCTGTACCATATTAGCAATGAATATTTGCACAGGAGAAGTAGCATAAACAATGTCAGAGGTGTGAATGGAAAAAAGGTGGGCTGATTATGTGATAAAAGTAAAGGAAAGGCAGTGGGCAGCCAATGTATTTCACTAATATCCATGTTGTCAAAAAGACCTAGAGGAAGGGTCTTAGCCCACTGGTAGATTGTGTTTGTCATCAGGGAGATGATGACATGAGTTGCAGTTGACTTTGTTTTGAGTGACGGAGGGCTGTGCAGGGTCACCAGCCTCACTTTCTCCTCCAGAGACATCTTGGTCCAATGCCCAGATATTCATCAGGATAACTGGAGATAGCTCAGGATGCAATGGGAGACCCTGGTCCTTTTAAGCTGAAGTCTTGTCAGGTTCTCACTTTGAGTGAGGAAACTTTCATTCAGAATCCACTGGCAGACCTCTAAATGAAGGAATTATAGGATAATGTGTACAAGAATTACTCAGGATGAGAAGATATTGGTGAGTTTCAATATGACTATTGGAAGGAGTACTCTTGATTATGAAATCACAGGCGATCAAAGGAGTGATTATTATAAAATTACATAATTTACATCTATGAGAGGATAATAAACACTTTAAAATGTTACCAGCATAGAAATACAAGTTAGTTGAGCCTTGATTTGTTTTTTCAGGTTTTACGTGATCAGTGATACCAAGATCATGTGAATTAATGTAATCAGAAGGAATGTTTCTTTTCTAGAGGTATAAAAACAGTTCACTTCTTTTGCATCCTGCCATTATATAATGTTCTTTCTTGCATTTTTAGGGAAAAGCACAGTTTTACATGATGAGAAATCCTGAAATCATTTTTTGAAAGGTATGTACATATAGCCTGTTTTCTTCACTAGTAGCTTTCATTTTTTATTTTATTATCATGAATAAAGTGTAACACTATTTAATCTGACATGACTTTAATACGGGCAAAGCATGCTATTAGTGTAGAAGTGAAGAGAATAAAAACATAGAATTCAGCTGTCTAAATTCACTTTCCGTGTTTTGTCAGACTTTTTAAAAAGCATGACAATTTGGAAAGAACGTGTAATGACAGCAACCAATATATGGAGCAGGCAGCTAAGTAAATGACTACCTGGAGTTACATAGTTAGTTTAACAATAGGATCATTTTCTTTCTTTTCTCATGTGTCTATAATATCTTTCCAGTTAGAGAAAAAAAACCCTTCACCTAGCAAAGATGATAATGTTTTGAGTAATTTTTTTCCAAGGCAGTAGTGATTTAGTTGATCAGCTCTAATTCTTATGTTGATCTCTTTAGGTTTATAGAAAAGCCTTTTACATTCCTCTAATCATTCACTGAAGTTCATGAATTTTCTAAGTCAGTGATGCCCAAATATCTCTCTGTGGTGTGTGTGTGTGTGTGTGTGTGTGTGTTTTGTTTATTTTTCACCCAGTGCCTCTCATATATGCAGCAAGTTGATATTCCCCAGCTGTGCTTTTTAAGGAAGATGTGGGGTTTCTTTCAAAGCGTAGCTTAGGTGCCAACTCTTCTAATCCTTGAAGTAATTAGCACTTTCTTGATCTTGAAATTGTTTTGTAACACTTTGTTTATGATTTGTATTTAGTTACATACGTGTTTCATTCTTCAATTATAAGGTCCTTGAGGACAGGGATTGTTTAGCGTTTTGGTGGGTTTTTGTTTGTTTGTTTTTGTATCACTAGCTCCAAGTACAGTTTTTGAACATTGCGGATACTTAAAAAAATTTTGTTGACCTGAAATCAATCAACTTAGGGCCCCGAAGATGATAATTTTAAGGAAACTAACTATGAATACAAAAGACTCCTTTAGCATCTGGAAGGTCTTACAAGAAAGCTACAGATAGTAAAGATGTAGCGGGGTTTACAGAGGTGTTGGCCCATCTTCTCTTTTGACCTCAGTAGGAAAATAGTGTTCTTGAATGTTTAAGGAACAGGGTATTCATCCATGTGGCATTACTTTACGGAATACCCTATTATTAGATGAACTGTTAAGTGTTAAGTAATGTGAACTCATAGTGAGTGAGTAGGAACACACAAAAAAGGGCATTTCCTCACTCCTATAATTTCCCCTTTCCTTGTCACAGTCTAGAATTTCAACTCTGACTCTCTGACTTATAGTCCGTATGGTAGCTTGTGCCTTTTTTGTTGACTATGACCTTCCTTCCTCATGTACAAACCTTGATTTTTATTCTTTATTACTTCATTTCATAATTGTGAGTTGAACTTTGGTCATATTTTGGGAGCTGAGTTGAGAAAAAAAAAACATTCATCTTGTTTTCAGCTCATGAGTTTATTATACTAGTAGATTCTTATTCCATTCCTCAGACCATTCCGGTGATCTCTAATGTCCCTTCTAGCTTGAAAATTCTACGTTTTTAAGTGGCTGTTCACGTCATTGACAGCTCTTCAACTCATGGACTCTATGGGGCTAGGACTGGTTCAGACTGCTGGCAATCATAGCATTCAAAATAATATTCATGTAGCTTGAAAACCATAACTCAGGAGCAGATGTTGTAAGTAAACTTTTTAAAAAGTGTGTTGGCGAAAGGACCCACATATATAAAATATTTATAGCAGCTCTTTTTGTGGTGGCAAAGAATTGGAAATTGAGAGGATGCCCATCAATTGGAGAATGGCTGAACAAGTTATGGTATGTGAATGTAATGGAGTACTATAGTGCTACAAGAAATGATGAGCAGGCAGACTTCAGAAAAACCTGGAAAGACTTGTATGATCTGATGCTGAGTGAAGTGAACAGAACCAGGAGAACATTGTACACAGTAACAGCCACGTTGTGCGATGACTAATATTGATAGACTTAACCCTTCTCAGCAATACAAGGATCTAAGACATCTCCAAAGGCTTCATGATGGAAAATGCTGTCCACATCCAAAGAAAGAACTATGGAGTTTGAATGCAGATCAGAGAATACTATTTGCTATTTTTTTCTTCTGTTGTGTTTTGTTTCTTCTTTCTGGTGGTTCCTCCTATTGGTTCTAATTCTTACTTACAATATCACTAATGTGAAAATATGTTTAATAGGAATGTATGTATATATAGCCTACATCAGATTACATGCCATCTTGGGGAGGGAGGGGGAGAAAAATTTAAAACTTAAAAGCTTTTGGAAGTGATTGTTGATAATTCAAAAGAAATTAATTAAAACATTTTTTAAAAAAATGTTGGTGAAAATAGAGAAAGCAATTATATATCCTGATCTGTGAATTTTGAATGTTGTAGAGAAGGGTGAGATGAAATAGGTGCCCTATTTAAGTTGATTTGAAACTGAAACATAAGATTTAGACATAGAATAAAAGAGTATTGAGTAGAGTGTTAAATAAGTTGGTATTTATATTTTTGTAGTGGAATTTTTTTTATTAATTGATTTATTATTTTTAGTTTTCAACATTCACTTCCAGAAGATTTTGAGTTCCAAATTTCTCCCCATCTCTCTCCTCCCCCCCCCACCCCAAGATGGCATACATTCTGAATACTCCTTCCCCCAGTTTGCCCTCCCTTGTCACTCCTCTCTTCTCTTATCCCCTTCCCCTTCTATTTTCTGGTAGGGCAGGATAGATTTCTATAGCCATTTGCCTGTGTATCTTATTTCCCAGTTGTACATAAAAACAATTTTTAACACTCGTTTTAAAGACATCGAGTTCCAAATTCTCTCCCTTCTTCCCTCCCCACCCACCCTCAGTGAAAAGGCAAGCAATTCGATATGGGTTATACATGTGTAGTCATGCAAAACACTTGCATAAAAGTTATGTTGTGAAAGACTAACTATATTTCCCTCCATCCTATCCTGCCCCCATTTATTCTGTTGTGTTCCTGTCCCTTCTCAAAAATGTTTGCTTCTGATCACCCCCTCCCCCAATCTGCCCTCCCTTCTATCATTCCTCCTCTCTTATCCCCTTTCCCTCTATTTTCCTATAGGGTAAGATAGATTTCCATACCCAATTGAGTGTGTATGTTATTCTCTTCTTAAGCCAAATTCCATGAAAGATTCACTCATTCCTTTTCACCTCCCCCCCTTCCCCTCCACTGTAAAAACTTTTTCTTGCCTCTTTTATGTGAGATAATTTCCCCCATTCTGCCTCTCCCTTTCTCCTCCTCCCAGATAATCCTCTCTCACCCATTAATTTTATTTTTTAGATATCATTCCTTCATATTCAACTCACCCTGTGCTTGCTCTCTCTCTCTCTCTCTCTCTCTCTCTCTTCTCTTTCTTTCTTTCTCTCTCTTCATATATATATATATATGTTATATATATATATATTCCTTTCAACTACGCTAATATTGAGAAAGGTCTCATGAGTTACAAATATCTTTCCATCTAGGAATGTAAACAGTTCAACTTTAATAAGTCCCTTATGATTTCTCTTTCCTGTTTACCTTTTCATGCTTCTCTTGAGTCTTATATTTGAAAGTGAAATTTTCTATTCAGCTCTAGTCTTTTCATCAAGAATGCTTGAGGGGCAGCTGGTGGTGCAGTGGATAGAGCACCGGCCCTGAAGTCAGGAGTACTTGCGTTCAAATCCGGCCTCAGACCAAACACTTGACACTTACCAGCTGTGTGACCCTAGGCAAATCACTTAACCCCAATTGCCTTAAAGAAAAGAATGCTTGAAAGTCCTCTATTTCAATGAATTTCCATTTTTTCCCCAAAGGATTATACTCAGTTTTGCTGGGTGGTGATTCTTGGTTTTAATCCTAGCTTTTTTAATGCCTGGAATATTATATTCCAAGCCTTGCAGTCCCTTGATGTAGAAGCTGCTAAATCTTGTGTTATCCTCATTGTGTTTCCACAATACTTGAATTGTTTCTTTCTGCCTGCTTGCAATATTTTCTCCTTGACCTGGGAACTCTGAAATTTGGCTATAATATTCTTAGGAGTTTTCCTATTGGGATCTCTTTCAGGAGGTGATCGGTGGATTCTTTTCATTCCCATTTTACCCTGTGGTTCTAGAATGTGAGGGCAGTTTTCCTTGATAATTTCTTGAAAAATGATGTCTAGGTTCTTTTTTTGATCATGGTTTTCAGGTAGACCAAAAATTTTAAAATTATCTCTCCTGGATCTGTTTTCCAGGTCAGTTGTTTTTCCAGTGAAATACATTGTCTTCTGTTTTGTCATTCTTTTGGTTTTGTTTTATACTTTCTTGATTTCTCATAGAGTTATTAGCTTCCATTTCCTCCATTCTAATTTTTAAGGAATTGTTTTCTTCAGTGAGCTTTTGGACTTCCTTTGCCATTTGGCCAATTCTGCTTTTTAAGGCATTCTTCTCCTCATTGGCCTTTTGGACCCCTTTTGCCATTTGGGTTAGTCTGTTTTTTAAGGTGTTGTTTTCTTCAGGGTTTTTTTTTTGAGTCTGCTTTAGCATGCTGTTGGCTTGTTTTTCATGATTTCCTTGCATCAGTCTCATTTCCCTTTCCAGTTTTTCCTCTACTTATCTTACTTGATTTTCAAAATCCTTTTTGAGCTCTTCCATGGTCTGAGACCAATTAATATTTTTCTTGGAGCCTTTGGATATAGGAGCTTTGACTTTGTTATCTTCTTCTAGTTGATTGTTTTGATCTTCTTTGTAGCCAAAGTAAGATTCTGTAGTCTGAGTTTTTTCTGCTGTTTGCTCGTGTTCCCAGCCAATTACTTGAGTTTTTAACTCTTTATTAAAGTAAGGCTTTGCTTCCAGTGTGCAGGGTGTACTAGCTTCAGGGGTTTTGTTCAGCTGTTTTCAGAGATACTTCTAGGGACTTGTAAATTTTCAGTTCTTCCATGGTGATATGATCAAATGAGAGGTGTTTACTCCTTTCTTGCCTTGGAACT